ACATTTACTTGGTTTATTTAACATCACATGATTTATGTAACATCAACATGATTTATGTAACATCAACATGATTTACGTAACATTGACATGATTTATGTAATATTGTCATGATTTATGTAACATTGACTTAATTTACGTGACATTAACATGATTTATGTAACAACATGATTTATGTAACATCAACATGATTTATGTAATATTGTCATGATTTATGTGACATTGTCTTGGTTTATGTGACATTAACATGATTTATGTAACATCAACATGATTTATGTAACATTGTCATGATTTATGTAACATTGACTTAATTTACGTGACATCAACATGATTTATGTAACATCAACATGATTTACGCAATATTGACATAATTTAAGTGACATTGGCATGATTTACGTGACATTGAACTGATTTACGTGATATTGAACTAATTTACGTGACATTGAACTGATTTATGTGGCCGTGGCAGATGTTATTTGAACACAGTATGATCTACAGGATACATGGATAACATCGGTATGTCAGTGTTGAAGTGCTTTCCCGGTTTACAGCCTTACCTGCATGGCGCCAACGATATCGTGTGGATCTTTCAATTTTGCTGAAAAGAACAGTACAGTTCATGGAAATAAAATACAACAGATCACAGTATAAACTTATTGCATTACAGTAACAATAAAAGTTACCTCTCACCATTTGATTTGGGTTCTAGGCGTGCATTTGCACCGAGTCTGTAATAGTATTCACTTGTCGTAATATACTGAAAATGAGCACATAAATGGGTGTTGTAAGAAAATATCCAACGTATATGTTAACACAGTTTATAATAGTAATTATCACATATTGGCTACCCTCGGGCCAGTGATAGCGACCATAGTACTTATGAAACCTTCATCTACCGCTCTAGCATCATCAATATTAAGGTCATTACCACCATTCCTTAAGGAGGCAAGCAATTTTAATGTTGCTTTCATAGTCATTTGTAATTCTTAAAGCGCGGTAGTCGTCGCGCTGCACATTGTTATTTTTATATTTAGTATTTAATATCTTATTCATGCATAATTGATTGGTTATAGCCTATGTATTGTGTCTATATTTCAATCAGTTGTTAATTATGTTATAACGAATAACGGATCTTGTCTATAAAAGTTGACTAGCCTTGACCTGTACTTACGTCACCCATGAAGAATACTCTATCGCAACTACGTTCAGCCATGCCGTGATCAGCTAACACGATAACATCCATACAATTATGCAGACCTGCCTTAACAATGCCATCCATCAAGTCCCCTACAGTCTTGTCAACACGTTGTAGCACTACGTTTAACTGTGGTATCGGAATAAATGAGTGCCGTTAACATTGAATGGTAATATTGTACTAATAACAAGTTTAATTCGCCGAATACAAACCAAAAAAATGCCATGACAACTATGTTGTTGTTATAAAATGTGATTCAATATTTGTATCACTATGTGTACTTGGATTGATTGTGACATATTACTAGACACACTTACTTCATCAGAATACGGTCCCGTGTCATGTCCTTCGTGGTCAGGCTCATCGAAATAAAGAGTGATTAAACTAGGCCTATAAGAAAAATGTATTTGTTTATGAAACAATTTCGCCTTTTTTTTAGTTTTGATATCCGGATCACGTAATTGCATATTTGTGAAGTTGTTATTAGTTGTTATCGTGGATTACTAATTTCCGTTTAGTCGGGGTGTTTATATTATAAATTATGACTGATGTAAGGTTTTTATTTAAAAGGATGGCATCATTTTGAGCCTGCGCAAAGGATTATAGGAATGTAAAACAATGGTGCTTGTGATTTTGCCAGTCGAAATCGAAAGTGTCTTGTAAAACTTTCAAACATTCATATTGAATTCAGTACAAATCCAAGATTTGGAGTGAAGCACAGCAAGGAGAGTTTACTTCGGTGATGGTGACATTATCTTGACAACGATTGATATCATGAACAATAAATTTCATACACGGACACTTAACTGTGTTGAAAAGTTATGTTAATCTCAGTGAACTTCTACCTCGTTGCTACATCTGTATCTATTGTATCTGGCCAGTGAACAAAGCCACAGACACAGTACAATACACATACTTTTTTGGGCTACTCAAAGTCCAGGATATGAGGCGGGGAATGTAAATTTATTATTTTGTGTATACTAGAAGAAAACGTACTAATAATTCGAAATTACGTTCGTATTGGAGGCCGTGGCGTGT